TTATTATATATATATATATATATATATATATATATATATATATATATATATATATATATATATATATAAGAAGAAAACAAAATATTAACAAAAATTATTAAAATTATTATATAATATTATAAAATTGATTACTTCGAAAAATAAAGTACATCGAATCATAAAATAATACATTTAAAACTATCTTTAATTATATTTAAAGTTAAAAAATAATATTAACAATTTATAAAAAAAATAACATTTATTAATCAAAATTTTGAAATAGAAAAAGTTGCATAATATTTTCAATTATGAGACATTAGAAATAAAGAATTTAAAAATTATAAAAAGAACATATTAATAGAATTTATATTTTTAATTAATGATGATTTAGATAATTTTTCCAAGAATTTGTTTTCTTAATAAAGTCTTGAAAAAAATTGACAATAATGTAAAAGGAATTTTAAATCATTGCGATAAAATTCTTTAAAAAAAATTATTAAATCAATATTATATCTTTGGTAAGTATTTAAAAATATGTCTGGCAATATAATTTATATATTGCCAGACATATAATAATATATATATTATTTTTAAAATTTTTTATTACATTTTTTAGTAATTGTTTAAATATTATGTATAAATATATAGTTCAAGTTTATAAGAAACAATTACTAAAAATATAAAGATGTTTTTAAAGACAATAAGTATACATAAATGAATTTTTTTTATAATTAAATTATTTATTAAATGTATAATTTATAAAATATAAGAATTTTAGTATTAATTAATATTAGTTATTATTATTAATACTAGTAAAAATTAAGGAATACATAAAGAAATCTTAACTTTAATATTTTTATCTTATTTATGCCATATCAAAATCATCTCTCTGTAATAGAAAAGTGTTTAACATTAATAAGTGTATTAAATTTAATATTAATTTAATATATGATCTATAATATGAATATATACTTATTACTTACAGTATCATTGTATTCTAATACATGTATTTTAATAGCCGATGTGTCTACCCAAGTAACAAAATCTTCCAAATTTCTATACATATTTTTTAATATTTATTTTATTCTTTTATATTTTATTTAAAAATATTTAATGCATACCTTGTTATTAAAAATGCTGGATCTTTTACAACTTCTGTACCAACTCTAACATGACCTTGTTCTATGAATTGTGTAGCCATTTTTAAGTTTTGGCTCATTTTATTTCGTACCATAACAACTGGTAAACGTCTTCTACAAAATGAACTAGCACTCACTTTTTGTGTTAAAGACAAATCCCATTTTGTTGCTATAAGTCCCATCATATATAATTTCTCTAATAATAATGCACTTTGCTCTATTCGAAATGGATGTTCTGCGTCAATTTCTTTAATTTTTTTGCCTAATTCACGAATTTCTCGTGCCAATTTATTATATCTGGAATAATTAAATTTGTTAATTATATATTTTTAACATATATATTTATAAAATTTATATTTAATAATGCAATAATAAATTACTTCGTATAATCTTCTCTTTTTTGTATTCGATAACGTTTCAAAATTTTTATTTCGTGCAAATTATTATCTGCTTCCCATGATATAAAATCAACTTTTTTTAGCAATTTCTGTTCGTGATATTTTAATTTTCGTACCATAATTATCACAACCAAATAATTATTATCACGTGTAAAGGATATTATAATACTTAATCTGCATCTATTTATACATTTTGTTTTGACAACAAAGAAGGTTAGATATTCACTTATTTGTAAGTACAATATTAAGATTGATCAAATAAACGTTTTGTAAATAATTGAAATAAATAGATACTAATTATTTTCTAAATATTTCATAAAATAAAAAAATATTTGACAAATTATTTTTTAAATACATCTATTTTTTTCTATTAATACAAATTTATAATAATATTTAAGATAATGTTATTCATTTATATATTTTGCATAATAATTCAAATTTAAAATTTTTATTTTTATATGCATTAACAATAAAATATTTATCATAGGTTTTTTATTCAATTAAATAAAACATTGTAATATTAAATTAAACAAGATTAACTATAAAAGATATTTGTTTAATTTTATAATGAATAAGAAAAACGAGAAAATAATACCAGGCGATGGTTTACGATCTTTAAAGAGTACAATGTTATTTCGTGCAATTAACTATGAATTATATGTTAAACCGGTAAGATTATGTTGCAAATTGAAGTAAATTTATGATAATTTTATTTATTTTATTTTATTTTAATATATAGTATTTTAATAAATAATATATATATAATATAATAATAATAATAATAATAATAATAATAATAATAATAATAATAATAATAATAATAATATATTATGGATAATATATTATAAATATTATGGATAATTGATTCACAATTATATAATAATTATTAATTCCTAAAGAACATAAAAATTCTTTATATATTATATATTACTACATATTATATAATTTTTTATATTAAAAATTGTACAATTATTTAATAATAATTTATTAAATAATTAAATGTTATATTGTTTATATCAAATATTTGAATTTTTAAATATAATATTAATAAATTATATATATATTATAAAAAGCATATTTTTAAAATAATCCGATTTCTTTTTCAGAATAAAATAATAATGATTTTTGGAACCATTGCAATATTTGGTTGTATAGGATATATTGTTTACATGCAACGTAATTCTAATAATACAGAATACTATTCTGTAATTAATTCTAATGGAACAATTGATTTTAAAAAGAAAACATCAAAATGGACAATATAGTTTACATATTTTTTTATGTTCATTCATATTTATTACATAAAATATAGAATTATTATTTATTATATTAGTTAATTTATTTGTTACATTCTACTTTATTGACAATTACTAATTTGTTTATTATTATTTCTATTATATATATTTCAATGATATGTAACAATAATCCCCTAAGTAAGTAAGATCCCCTGTTATATAAAAGTATTTTATTATAATATTTAAATTTTTCAATTCTTATTATGATATTTTGAATTTAATACTTGTGTAAATATACATTAATAATATATTTTTTTGATATATTAACTTTAACAAAATATTATTTTGAAAAATGTAAATAGCATTTTGTATCACATATATTTTAGATATACATTATATATATGTACCACATATTTATATACATAGAAAGTTAAATTTTGTTATTGTTTTATACAAATTATTAATTTTGGCAGTATATAAGATTAATCAAAAAAAGTACACTTGGTATGTTGTAATAAACAGTTTAAAAATGGTTAAAAACAGTAATATTATGTAATATTAATAACAATAAATATTACAATGAATGTTATGTACATATATTTTTATAAAGAATACCATAATAGATTTAAGATATAAATACTATTTATATATATTTTTACATATTACTTACAATGAATAATTATTGTAATTATATTAGTTTTAATATATCTCTCTGTAATTTTTATAAAGATCCTGTATTAGTCCAGATTTTTGAACAGAAAATATTCTAAGCTTCTAAATTACATAATAATACTAAATATATATATATATATATATATATATGTTTTATGTATGCATATAATATATATATATATATATATATAAGTATTTTGTAAATGTTAAAATATATATAGTTTTTTCATATGATTTAATATTAATATATAAATATTATTAGTATATATAATAATATATAATAACTAGTAATATGTAAATATTACTTTAAAATAATTGATTATGTTATTATATGTTATTATTATATTATATATATAAAATTTAAAAAATGAAAAAATTCAATATCTAATTATATTTTTCGTATAAAGTACTTTTAAAAAAATGATTATAAAGCATAATTATTATTGTATATAAATTGATATGATTTTGAAATATTTTTGTATTTTTTATTTCATAATTTATAAATTAATGGAAGCATTTAGGGAAAATAAAAAATTATTCTATTTCTAATATAGCATAATGGATTATATCTATATTAAACAAAAGTTATACATGTTTTTTTAGAAGATTCTCTTGTTTTTTATTTATTGAATATGAAATGTTTTAATGCTAATTATAAGATATATTAATATATATAACTGATTTCAATTCTACAAATACAAGAAATATAGTATCAATTTTTTTTGTATATTATAGAAAAATGATAACAATTGATTTACTCAGAATAAAATAGTAAATAGGAACAGGAAGTAAGAATAGTTTGCATTAAATTTAATGATTTCAAATTTTATATAATTCTCATAAATATATCGCTTATTATTAAAATAATTAAAGCTCTATTGTTATTTTTAATTATAATTTTTCTTCAGTCATTGATTTTTGTTAATAAAATGTATTTATATATATATTAATTTATTGTTAAAAATATAATATCGAATATAAAGATAAAGATATATTATATAAAAATAATATTTTATAGTATTAAAAGTATTAAAAGTATATTTATTGATAGAAAAATTGTATTTAAAAAATATTTTTTTGAAAATATACAAAAAATATTTCTATTTTTATATATAACAAGAATAGTTATTTAGAATATGGTTTTAAAAATTTGGTCTCATTCATTAATAATATCACATTATATATATAATTTTGAAATTATTTACAAGAACATGTGATATATGATAATTTCAAACTTTGTATAATATATATGATTTGTAATAATTTTCTAAATAATAGAAAAATAAAGACTTCTGAAAATTTTTGTTTATATCAGCCATAGAACAATATTATTTTAAAATAAAGTTCATTAACGATACGAAACATTAGTTTATATATGATTAATTTTCTTTAACGAATCATTTATATCAAAATAAATTTTTATTATTTCTGAATATTTTTCTACAAGCTATTAAGCTTAATAAAAATCACTTTAATAATAAGCGATTATATATGTATTAAAATTTGGCATTTCCATAATACTTTGTTGATATTTTGTACTTTTATGGAGAAGGCGATTTTTAACAAAATTTTTTAAGTTATGAAATAGAGAATTTACGTTAATTTGAAAATTTTTAAGAAATATTAAGAATTTTTTAGAAAAAAGATAAATATTTTAGATAAATATCCTAATAAATTAAATTAAAGAGATTTTTAACTAAACTATAACAAAAATAGCTATATAATATTAATTTTTATCATTATAACATAATTTCAATGTATATAAAATATTGTTATACTTTAACAATTTCTCAACACTAAAATTTTAATGACAATTTATACTTATTACCATATGAAATCTGATTCGTCTTTTAACATGTACAACTTTGCTTATTTTGTGGATATAGTAGAACAGTTTCATAAATCGCACTTGCTACATAATCTATATTGCTTTCATTAAGTCCACATATATTTATTCTACCACTTCGTAACATATAAATGTGGTAATTATTGATTAAACATTCAACTTGTCTTTCTGAAATAATGATTTAAATAAAATAATATATTATTAAATATAACAAAATAATTTCCTTAAATACTAACCAGTTAAACCTGTATAACAAAACATTCCTATTTGTTTAGTAATATGATCCCAAACACCTGGAGTTCCTTTTTGAATCAATTTTTCATATAAGCATACTCTCATTTCTTTTATTCTATTAGACATTGTAATCATATGACTTTTCCTGAAATATTTTGATATTTTTAGAAAATATTTATATTTAGTGTATAATTTTGTTGTTTATATTATACCATTGCTTGAAGAGATCTGGATTCTGTAAAATAGTTGCAACTATTCTTGCTCCATGATTTGGTGGATTACTATACATTCCTCGGACAATCAAAGTTAACTGTGATTTAACTTGAGCTAATTCTTTTGTATCAGACATAACAACTATTAAATTTCCAACTCTTTCATTGTATAAACCAAAATTTTTAGAAAAGCTTTGAGTACACATAAATTCTATTCCACGTTCAGCAAATCTTCTTACTACATAAGCATCTTTATCTATATTACCAGTTGCAAAACCCTAAAAAATTATTAGATCTTTTATATTATTAAAATTAAAATTATTATAAAAATAGATACATATTATCTATAATACTTGATAAGCAGTATCAAAAATTGGAAAAAGAAAATTTTCTTCCACTACATCTGCTATTCTCTCCCATTGTTCAGGAGTTGGATCACATCCAGTAGGATTATGCGCACATGTATGGAAAATAATTACAGCATTTTTTGGAGCATCTCTAAGATCTTTAAGCATTCCTTCTATATGAAGAGAACAAGTTTCTGGATTCCAATATCTATATTCACAAGCTCTTTTAAATCCTCCATTTAAAAACACAAGTTTGTGATTTTCTATTAATACATATTATATATTAAAAATTATGTAAATAATATCTTTTTTATCATTTCATTTAAAATTTATTAATACTTACCCCAAGTAGGTTTGCTATAATAAAAAACATCATAATGTAAAATACGATTTAAAAATTCAGCTGCAACACGCAATGCACCAGTGCCAGATAATGTTTGAATGCCAAAAGCATGACCTTGTGCAATGATAGGAGAATCTGTACCTAACAAAAGTCTTGTTGCTGCTTGAGAAAAAGCATCTAATCCCAAAACAGGGAGATATTCATGATTTTGTAATTCATCTGCAGCTAATGATTTTTCTACTTTCCGTATAACTGGTAATACCCATGGTTTTCCTTCATTTGTGCGATAAGCTATAAATAAATTTTATTATAAATTTCAAGAAATATTTGAATTATATATTAATCTTGTATATTATTTAATATTTAAAAAGTAATTATATTCTATTATAACAATATACATAATATGTGTTATGTAATCACTAGATATTGCTGGAGGTCACTCAAGAGCAGATTCATTAGTAATATCACATGACAAATAAGATAATTTTAAAAAAAATTGCAAACTTTTATATTTTACAAATATTTTAAAAAATCATTTTTTAAATTATAAAAAAAAATTATAAAAGAATTTATTTATATATATTTATTTTTTTAAATATTAAATTAAATTAAAAATTTTGCAACATACCTCCTATAGATAAATTCACTTTTTTTTCGTGAGTGTCTTCTAAAAAAGCTTTATAAATTGCAAAAACTTCTATTGAAGGTCCTAATTTGATTCCACAAAACCTTGTAGTCATCTTTGAAACGTTTAAATATCGAATGATCAACTATGTATGCAACGATGTAAAATGGGAGTTAATCCGGCTCCACCATTTTATATGGAATAACAAACACATTTATAAATCTCTTGTAATCACTATGTAAGGAATATTCTTGACTTTTAAAAATAAAAATTCATTTTAAAGATAAATATTCACATTTAACATACAACTATAATTTAAATTATAATTACATAAACTTTTATTACTAATAAATTTAAATTAATTTAACAAATATTTAATAAATAGATATTTGATACATATTTATAATTTCAATTGTATTGTATGTAGAAATTTTATTTTTTATAAAACATTATGTATTTTAATAAAACAAATATTAAAATACATAAATAAATTTCAATATATATATAATCATTATTGAAAATATAAATATATTACGACGTATTACATAGAATATTAAATATTTTTGAATTTAAAATATACAAAATAATTATAAATATTAGATTTTATATTTTCATGTAAAAAAAAATGCATTTTACAAAAATAAATAAAATTTTATATAATTTGTAAAATAAATAATACAAAATAATATAGTAGTAAGAAATTTTTACATATTAACAATTATTTAGCATAAATAAGATTTTTGAAATTTCTGCTTTATCGATTGATCGTTTTTACCGTTATTTATCGTTATAGAGGTCTCCATATGTAAGTAATGTATCACGTATATAGTTTAGTCGATGCATAAAAATTTAACATAGTTTAGTTGAAAGTTGAACAACGAAGAGTAAAGTTTCTGTGTCAAATTTTATACTTTGTGCCAATTATTACGTTTTTTTTTCTGTTTATATAACGTATTTTTTGTGTTTATATGACTGTACATCCTTGAATTACATGAGAAACCATATTAAAGTGAGCATTGATTAAATATATTAATTTTCTTGTTAAATATATAATTTATTCTTTTGATTACGACTTAAGGTTTAAGGGATGCTGTATATTGTTATGATTCGTTATTATATGTAATATTTTCTTATAAAATGTTCATTGATTGTAATCACGCATTTAAAACATATAGTAAACATAAAATATAATATATAGTAAAAATATATAATAAAATATATAGTATTTCTTTCAATTAAAATTCTTAATTATTTTAGTTATGGTATAAAGATTGTTAACATATTGTATAAAAATAATTTTAATTGTTTATTAGACAGTTAATATGCTTAGTGTACTTGTCAATATAAATAGTGTAATATTATCAATGAAATAGTGTAATATTATCAATGAAATGAAATTTTTAAAAACTTCAATTTAAATTGAATTCAATTTTATTATCAGATGAAAAATTACTAATTTTTTGTAATAATACTTTTCTAAATATTATTACATGTAAGTATAAATTCTCTTATGTATTTTTGAATAATATATATTACTTATATAACATTGCTTATACATATATGATATCGAAATATTATTTATAATATTTATAATATTTATATTATTTTTTAAAATACTTGATATATTTTTTTCATCAAATTTTGGTTAAATTAAAAATAATTCATTAACAGATTTTATTTATTTCCATTTCTTTTTTTATATTAACATAAAAAGAAATCCAATATAAAATAAAGATAAGAAATATGTATTTTTTTAAATAAATTAATGGTGGACTTAAAATTCAAATTTGATGGATTCGATTTATCAAAACATATATAAATAATTATTTGAATCAATATTTAATTGCTTAATAGTAAATTGCTTTACAGTGATTGTTGATTCATTGATAATTTAAATATATTCATAAACTGAATTTTTAAAAATTTTTTCTACATTATTTGTTTCATAATAAAAAATGTTTAGAAATTTTTATTTTAATTTTAAAACGATGCAAATTTTTAATTTTTAATTTTAATTTTTAATTTTTGACATCATATTTTTATAAATATGATATGAATGTATATTTTGTATTAAATCATTTTTAAATATAAAATTTTTATATTAAATCTTAACTTAAACTTTTATATTAAGAATATTTAATAGTATTCTATTATATATTTGTAATTATTTATAATATATATTGTATAATATGTTTAATTATTATATATAATTTAAAATATTATTTTTATTTTAATTTTTAAAATAAAATAAAATATGTTGAAAATTTTTTATTTAAGATAAAGAATAAATATATACTTTTTTAAATTAACAAGTAAAACAAAAAGAAAATTGTATTAATCGTGTTTTGTTCATTTATTACTAAACATTTTCACAAATATTCTTTTAAAATCTTATTTATTAATTTAATAAACATATTATATATTTTATTTCTAACATATATTTCGAATATATATATAAGAGAATTATGTCTATATACATTCATATATTAGTTAAAGTTAAAGTTACTAATAAATCTTTATTACTCAAAATGTTATTAAAAAAGAGAAAAAAAATATATTTTTGGAAAATATTACGAACTTTAATATTAAAAATACAAAGAGAAAGGGACATTTTGTCGATATGGCTTTAATCGAGAGCATTGTACTTATTGAATTGTATTGAATGCAACAATATTGGTAATACGTGCATACAATGCATAAAATGAGAATTAATCGTGCTTATTTTTTCTTATTAGAATTGTTTCAATATTATTCGTACACATATTTCATTGTTTAGTCTATTTCGAATTAAAAATTTTTATTTATTAGAAATACAAAATATTTCAAAACTATAATATTATTTAAAAATATAAATTAGAATGTTAACATTTAATTATAAATTATATATATATAGTTGTGGTAATATATAAATAAAGAAATATTTAACTTATCAACTTAGATCAATGAATGAAAAATTGATAGACTTAATAGTTTAATTTAATTTTTTAATAATATTAATGAAAATCGAAATAAAATACATTTTCTTTTTTAGTTTTTCGTTATTAGAAAAATCGTTATAAAATATGAATTATCAAACTTTATTCTATTTTATCAATTTTCTTAATCGTCCAATTTATTTCGATTTCAATCGAGCGAAATGTAAATGTGGTATTATATATAAGTCTTCTATGTGCAATAGAATGAATTTTATTTATTCTCGATGAAAATTTTTTTCAATATTCTTTTTTTGTGGTATCCTCCAGAATAATTTCAATTAATATAAAAATAATCTATATAAAATTTGAGCTGAATCAGATAAAGAAAAAAGATATTCTCATTAATTTTTTTTTTTTGAAAATTGTTCAATATAGAAGAAAGTAATAAAACATAAAAGATGTATCTTGTTCTAAATTAAATTTTATCTGATATATTTTTTTAATGTTTAATCAATAATATTTTTAATCAATAATTTAAAAAATAATCGAAAAAAAACTGATTTTATGAGCATTTAATTAATTATTTGTATATTTAAGAATCTAGAAATTTTTAATGATCCGACCGAATTTAAATTTTTACATAAATTATTTTTTTATTAATTTAAATTATTTTGAAGAGTGTTGCAAAAAAGATTTGAAAATTAAGAGTTTTTTTAATGTACAGTAGGACTTTTTGGGAATGATAAAATATTCATTAATGAAATTATTTATTTTTTATTTAAATAATCTTTAACTAATCTTGAATTAATTAAAATCAAAAATAAATTTACATATTATATGTATATGATGATATAAATTATTATTTCATATATTATTTTTATTTTTTATATTTATATGTTAACATAGATTACAAATATTTAACAAAATATTGAAATGTATAGTAAATTATTGAAATGAATAGATATTTTAGATATTGAAAGATATAGAATGAATAGATATTGTAAAATATCTTTTCTCTTTTTTTTATTTACAAAAAATAAAACAAAAACTTATACAATTTTTTCATATATATTATTTATTCATGTTTTCTTAATATGCGTTTATAAGTTTTTATGATTTTGATTATTCTGCTTTTTGAAAAAAAAACAATGTTCTTTATAAAAATATGAAAAAAAGTATATCTTGATAAATAATAAAATAATAATAATAATAGAAATAATAATAATTTTTTCATGATTCTTCATAAAAAAAATGATTTTTAAAAAGTTAATAAAATAAGTAGTAAAGTAATTATATTATTAATTGAAATCAAGATTTTTCGTATTATAATCTCCATCAAACATTTGCAATTAATATTAGCGTTTTATATATAATATAATTTCACTAATGTGCACTGATTTTCTTGCAACTGATTGCACCAATGATCGCGAAGGAATTTTGTGAAACCTGTTAAGTCTAATGTAAATGGAAGAACGCAATAGGATATATATTAAAAGATACATCTAATTAAGTTGAAGACAAGTAGAAATAATACAAAATTAATATTGAAAAAATTATTTTCATTAAAAATTAAAAAGTATTTTTTATTTGTTATATACTATTTACTTTTTCATTTTAGATATATAATATTAATTTTTGTCAATTTAAACAAATTTTTAAATTAAAAAAAAAACTTGAATAGATTAATTAATATGTATGAATTACAATTTTTACGACAACATATTATTTAATGAAAAATATGAATATTTTTTATTTATAGTTAATTAATGGATTATTAAAAATTTGAATATATTCTACACATACCAAAGAAATATTTATATCATTGCAATGCAAATAATTCGTAAAAATGATACAATTCTAACGAAAATTTTAAAGTCGATGCGATATATATTTTTTTACGATGTAATTCTATATTCTTTGAGTATAATAGATAATAATTCTCTAAGATTTTCTTTATTTTTTTCATAATTTTTTTTAAATAAATATCAATAATCTGTTGACATTAAGTATATCGTATTTGTAGAAATTTTATTATAAAAAATAATTAATTAATATATCATTATATAATTATTTTTAACTGTTCGTCATTTTAAAAAATGTTACTATTATAAATATTAGAAATAGAAATTATCATTTTTCTGGAAATAAACTATGAATCTAATTAAAAATCTAATTTTAAAAGGAAATTATTTTAATTTCTCGTGTTATATATTTAGAAATATAAAGATCAAAATTATTTTTCTTAATAAGATGGAGCATTTTCATGATAATTCATATGATTTGGACAGATATATTAAATGGATCGATGTAGAA